AGTGAGATAAAACGCAAGATCTTTCTCTATAGCTGCTGGAGGACATCGTTGAATGTACTTCTCGTAGTAGTATACAAAACATTTTGTTTTATCATGTAGATTTTCATAATGAGTCACTGTCTTAGGTTCCAATTTTCGATGTTTTATACCACCTGAATTGTTTTTTGATACATTCTCGGTGTATATGAGACATTTTTTCCCGTCAATCTCTTTGAGTTTGATTTGGCTAAACCTCAAATCTCTGTGCTCTTGACCACTCCTCAATGCAAAGTAAATGCCACACATGAATATCATTGTTTCAAGTAATTTATGTGGTGAACCTTCACCCAGCATTCCCTTTTCCCATAGCCACTTTTCCTCGTTCATTGTAATCGGTTCTGCTTGTTTTTTTATATATGTTGTGGCTGCTTTAATTCGTTTCATCTCACCGTCCAAAGTCTTCTTTGTGCTATCGAATTCTGGCATGGTAAAAAAGTTCAATGAAGGGTAGAACTGCCTTAGATGTCGCATAATCCCACAGCATATTTGATATAGAGTACTAGCAGGGTATTCTTTCCCATCCTTCCTCCTTATTTCAACTATAAATTTACTCATCCAATTATTTAGTTCATGCATTTGCAACAAATGTGGTGCTCCAGGGAAATCATGACCAAGTGTCTTTCTGTTGTCTGCCCATTCCTTCCATATATTTAAAGTCCAGGAAGTGGACTTTGCAGTGGATTGCGGGATTGCATTTTCTTGGACTTTGCGTAGGTAATCTTCGGATGTGGGAGGTAAAAACCGCTTGATGGGGCGTGGCGATAATACAGGCCCGGCCTTAATTGAAGATTGAGAAAGAGAGGGGGGAAGTATAGGTGAAGATCGAGAAAGAGTAGAGGAAAGAGCAGCTGAAATGACCCCCTTTGCTCTTACTTCCATCGCTGTGTCTGAAGTCTAGCTACTTTTAAAGATTTACTGGTTGCTAAGCAATGAAATAAACCTGTTTGTAACTGGTTTGGCATGGTAGAAGTCTGTTATACACCTCGGTCTCGGTTGCTATGGGTTTATTTACCTCGGGAATACGTCCCTCGGTAAATAAATCCCATAGAAACCTCGACCTCGGTGTATAACCTATACTTAATTTATTCATAATACAACAACTGAACTACATCAAACCTGTGTCTCTCCTCAGGACTGAATTTAGACCATTCTATCTTGTCCCAATCAAAAGATGTAGACTAGTAACGATACAACAGTATACATGAATGAATATATAGCAGCTGCTACTTACTGCAACAGTGGAATGGGTAGACAATGTAGCTTCTGACATTATTTTTGAATTTTTAAGTTTTAACAACATGTATATGTGTAATGGGCGGAGTTTGAATGCTAACTATTCAAACTCCACCCATCACACATGTCAGAATTCAATTAAACTCCTGTATGGCCTGCAAACTATAATTTCAGCAATGTGCTTCTCCTCTATCATCCGGTGACGTAACATGTACATCGCAAACCAATACCGAGATATTATGGCTCTATTAGTTGTAGTGTCTTTACTAGAATTTGTGGCCATGTGCATGGATCACATCATGATGACAAATTTTGACAATAGCAATTTACCATCACAAATAAAAATAAGCACTGTTGTTGCAAATGACAGCACACAAGTTAATCAGTAATAGCAATAAGGAGACACACAAAATAAAAACTAGATCTATATTATTATTATTATTATTAGCAATAAGAAATAATAACTGGGGATGGCATGCAGACAAACAAAATATAAAAAGTTCAGCATTAAAATATAAATTCCACACAATAAAATTTAAAGTTAAAGTTAACTCTCTTCTCCTAGTACTCCACCTCCTCCTCCTACTCTTTCATTCTTTATACTGTTAACAATAGCTAACAACTGATCCATTGAACTGCGTAGATCCTTCACCTCCTGAGATACTGAAGTAACTGAATTGCGTAGACCCTTCACCTCCTCAGATACCAAACATATTTTCTGAGATACCGAACTGCATTGGTTCTTCACTTCATATAACGGTTTGATCTGATTCTCAACATCAGTTACAGTTGCCTGTATTAAATAAACTAACATATAGCTCCAAATTTTCGTCAGTTAAAAATTTCTTTAAATTTGTCAGGCATTTTTGTTTGACAAAATTTTTGCTTCACATGGTTAGCATGTGGATTTATA